GAAATCATAAGACAGGCATGTGAAGCAGTTTTTCTTGGACCTCAGACTTAGAAAGAAGTCGTGATGGGGCACAGAGGGAAAAACAAACAAACAAAGAAAACAGACTGAATACTCTCTCTAGGTCAAAACCAAAGTCCTCAAGACAAAATCTCATCAAACTTTTTTAGGTGACCCACTGCCAAATTTGTCCCTGTGGACATCATTCTGGAGGAAAATCACACATTCTTTGGTCTCTGGAGCCAGCTCAAACTCCAGGCTTCTAAGGCCTATGCTTCTGTTTTACCTCATGATTTTCCGTTTTATGACAACATCATAATACTCTTAAACTAGCACAACACAATGCAAGGCAACATGCATACACACAGGTAGCTATACGATTGCAAGCTGCTTCAGTCAGGTTGACCCACCTGAAAATTACCAGAGATTATCCACTGATCCAGTCCAACAACCCTGCCCCATGACTAGGACAAGTAACCCTTGTGTGCAAACATGCCCAAGTAACCTTTGAGGACTTCACTTCCTTGGATTAAATTAGACATTTTTGGTTGAGTTCTGTTGGATATCTCTTGAAACTAGTCCATGGAAAATATTCAGATGACACAAATGGGAAAAATTCTTATGAAACTGGAGCACCAAACAGATTCCCCAAAGTGCAAAGAAAATGTTAGAAGAGATGGAAACCCGGTTCTGTAAACAGACAACGTGAAACGGTAAGTTACCAATGAAGAGATGTTCATAACTGCTCAAAGGGTAACTTACCAAGGAAAAGACATTCATATCTGCTCAGATAGAAACTCAGAGAGTTCCACACAAAAGTAATGGAACACAAACCAAATAGATTTTTACCAGGCTCAGACATGGTGAGGAAACAACTGGATGCAAGAATCCCATGTTTTGTACCATATGTTTGATCTCTCATCACAAAATGGGGTACTTGGCTCAATGATCTCTGGATGGATCTCCAATTTTCTCTGAATCCCATTTCTCAGACCAAAGTGATAAAAATGTAAAGTTTATTCTGAACATTTATTCTATATGCATATAGGGAGACTGTTTAGATTCCAGAAAAAGCAAATGGGTTGAAGACGCTAGGTACAATGGGCCTTAGAAAGAGAAGAGGAGGGAAGATCATCCATTGGCTAATCTTAATATGATTGATTGAACCTGCCTTCTCCCCTTCACTGAGATCAACTGATATCAAGTTACAGGATGATCTCTGGCTCTCTACCCAAGAACATGTTTAGAAATTCAAATTTAGTAAGCTGGGCTTCAAATAGGAAAGAAAGGATTTGCAACTATGGGTTGAAGAAAAGCCTCTGGCAGAATAGTTTTGGTCAGGGATTTCTTTAAAGTGAATATTTGGTTTCATGGGTAGGAAAACCCCCAAATCAAAGCAAGATAGCTGCTATCGATTTCTCTCTGACAGTTATGAAATGTGCTTCTTGGAGTTTTCTTTTCTTTTTTTGCTTAGTTTGTCTTTTTTAAAAAATATCAAAGTTGAACTTACAAATACTTTTAAAATCCACAGTACAGAAGGGGTTATGATGAAAAATCAACTATTGTTTTTCCCACCTGTCCTCACTCATGTCTTCAACTAAGGAAGCATTGACTTTCCTTGTGTTTTTTTCCACTTCTATTAGCTTTCTCTGTAAAGGAATAAAATCCATGGGCATTGATTCGATTCCAGCTCATAGAGACCCTATAAGAGAGAGTAGAAC